CATCGATGCCATTGAACGCATCGCGTTGACTGATGGCCTGGAAACAAGTGAGCAGCATAATGAGCAGAAAGATGCTTAGAGCTTTGAACGTGGAAGCAGCTTAGAAGGTACTGGTGCTTCAGAGCCCATTGAAGTCTCAGCAATATGAGTCCATCACCAAGGCATCAAGGTTTGCAACAAAGTGCTTCGTGAACCAAGCCATAATGAAGCACTCCGACAAGGCAACCCCTAAACCCTAAACCCTAAACCCTAAACCCCAAACCCTAAACCCTAAACAGCCCTGGTCCCTGGCCTTGCGGAGCCCTTCGACTCTATGCGGCTCATGAGGCCTCGGTCAAGCCGATTCGCTGCACAGCAATAAGGGTTCGGCTTGCGCATTCCGGCTTAGGAGTTAGGGTTCAGGGTTCAGGGTTCAGGGTTTAGGGTTTAGGGCTTCCGCTTCCATGTGAACATCCCTAGACTCGGCTTCCCTTCCGGATTTAGGGTTGGTGGGAGCCGTTTTCATGGAGAAGGCAGGAGGGCTCCGCTGGCTGAGCACGAAACTAAGTCGATCGGCTTTATGGTGTGGATGATCGGGTTAGCTGCTTTGGCAGATTGGGGCGTTGCGTGAGGGAGCTGCGTTGGTTCTCAAAGCTTGGAGTTTACAACAGACTGCTCCTGTGCTCATGTCGCAACACTCTCATGCCGTGTGTAATTATGCTGCCGTATACGTGTGTGCGCAAGAGCACCAGGGACATACCATCGGTACAGGGTGCACGGTTGAAAATGCACACCTTCTACATACACTGTACGTGGGAAGAGGACATGCGCAGCACGAACGACAGATGGTAATCACCAATGTCAATTTCGCACCATATTGAGCCGTTGTCAGACCTTTGAGCACAGGGCCTGCGCTCACTGGACCATCCGCCGGCGGTGTCACTGTCCACCGCGCATTTGCTCGAACACCCTCATCCTGAGCAATAAACGTAAACAATATTCATTAGCAAGTGTGCATAGGGGGGCTCCAGGTTGGGATTTCCAGTGGGGTTTAGGATTGAGGGTGGATAAATAAGGTTCGTTGGGCACCGTTCTTGCAAAAGACCGTTTTCGACCGGATCTCTAGCAATGGAGATGGATGATGGTCTCTGCTTTCCGGTACACGCTTCACTCTTTCAGACAGCACATGACAGACAAAACACGGCATCGCAGCCTGTTCAGAGGGGACTGGGCAGCGCATAGGAAGCCTCCCTTATCCGGAGGACACAAGGCCTACAAGTTCAGATGCAATCCGACACCGACGTTCCAAAAAAGGCTTGCTGCGCAAGTCGCCTCAGATGGCGATGCCGATGCCACTGACAAACCATCCAAATCATCTAAGGAGATACCTCGGCAAGGTCCATCAGAAGGGGCCATGTCACATCTGCACTGGCATTCAGACAGTCCGACGTCTACTGTAAACTAGTATTGAAAATTCGCCACCGCTCCTATGAAAGGCGCTTTCATCTCGGACGGCAGAAAGCTGAACATACTCTGCAAAATCAATGTGGACCTGTCCTCACCGTCTAAGCGCTGTCCCAATAAACACGCCAACCCAGCTATCTGCACACAACGTTGGGGACTTGAACGAAACGACGCCCAAGAGGCGCTGCGCGCGGGCGGCTCGACCTGGAGCGCTCCAAGCTCAACTCTTTGATGGTGGAAAGCTTTACTCCCAGATGATGTAGGGGCTAATTAAGAGGGCTCAGGGTTGTTGGACATGAGGGATCTAAGTCAAAAGTGGATACTGGTCTTGGCAAGGTTGAGGAGTTCTCCTTTATTGATCAGCGACCCTGAGAAAAAACAGCGTCGCGCTTGCCAACGTTGACATCTTGCTGCTTTGAGTTTGACCATACGAGGAATCTTGAAGTCTGAAAGCTAGCATGAAACAACCCTAAACCCTAAACCCTAAACCCTAAACCCTAAACCCTAAACCCTAAACCCTAAACCTTAAACCCGAAACCCTACTTGGTACCTGCAATGGGCCTCTGAAAGGATTCGCTTTGGTGCCAAGTCACATCTGGAGGTGCCATTTGTTGTGAAGGCGTCACCTGCATGTTTAGGGTTGAGGGTTTAGGGTTTAGGGTTTAGGGTTTTGAGTGACGGTGCTTAGTCAACCAATCTATGCATGTATTCGGAATCTGTTTATGACTCTGGGATATATCCGTTTTTGGAGAATTAGAACGCATTCTGGAAAGTGGCATAATACAACGCTCATACATATATTATGTATACAGATATGGCCACCCCTGACCCACCGGTATCCTTTGATTTCGTACACAAAGTCGAGATCGGATTGACTGTAGGCTCCTGTCAGAACCAAGTCAAAGTCACTAGCCAGGTTTGCGAAAGCAAAATGTCCTGTTAAGCTCCTTTTTGAATCACTTTCAAAACCTGCGGTTCCAGCTACATTCACATTCAAGTCCTGTTTGTTCATATTGGTTGACTTTCTGGATTCCTGTATAAAAAAATCCTAACACGTTCTTGCTAGGTTTAAGCGTTTCTTTCTAGACTCCAGATAAACTCCTGTTACGTTCCCATTCATATCCTACTGGCACCCCAATTGAAACTCTTCTTGGCCCCCATTCCGATAGGTTCCTACTAACTTCGTACTAGGGTTCTATCTGATTCCTATTGAGGTCAAGGGGTCATCCCATCAAAAATGTTTGCACTTAAGGCAAGATTCGGAACCAGGCTTCCTTGTCAAGTTCCAAGGAAGACGACATTCAAAGTTCATAGGTTTCTTGTGAGATTCCTCTTAGGCTCCGAAAAAATGTAAGCATAGAGGTATTGATTCTGTACAAGTGCAAAACTTTACTTTGTCGGATCTTGCAGCCAAAGGGGGGGGGGGCTTCCATGCTTTTTTTGCAAGGCTATATGATCACTGCTATCATGCTATTAGTGCACGATGCGTGACTTCTTCTCATCCACTGGGCAAGAGGTGGCGCAATTGTGAGAGATGACTTGTCACTGTCGTTGTTCTATCGCAGATTTACGATCCTCCGAGCCATCCTCGAAGCTCTGTCGGCTGGAGGGTCGCGGATGGGGGTGCGTTTTGCAGCCCCGGCCTTCGCCAAGTAGCACGGTCTTGTGAAGACCTTGTTCAGGGTCTGATGTGTAGAGGCTTCCTACTTCCAACTGCCTACTTGGAAGTCGGACGTGCATGGCAACCCCGCAAGGCTGCGAAAGTCTTATTGGATAATGCGAGCTAGCCCAGAAAGTTGAATCAGTCCCCCACCCCCATCCCCCCCCCCCTACCTAAAATCCTCAGCTGTCGATCCACCGCCCTAAACCCTAAACCCTAAACCCTAAACCCTAAACCCTAAACCCTAAACCCCCTAAACCCTAAACCCTAAACCCTAAACGCCACATCGGCCCAACTTTAGCCCAGGAGCTGACCAAGTTGGCAGCTGCCTGCTGGAGGCTGCAAGACAAGAGTTCGGTGACCTCTTCGAGCACCTTCGCGTCAGGGCGATGGCTGAAGGGGACAGCTGGAAGCTTTAGGGCCTCTACTTGGAGGTTCATGGTACTTATTGCCCAATTACAACTGTACTGAAAAAAACCCACTTGCAAGCCCCTTAAGTGCCCGAATATGGTGCGTGAACCTCCAAGTAAGGTTGAGGACTAGATATCGAGGTCCACGCAAGAAGCTTTCCAGCCTCGGAAATGACACTGGAGGCGGACTCTTCAAATCGCTCAGTGCTGAACCTCGGCTGATGTTCAGACATGAGGCTCTAGCTTTTGTTTGAGATGAATTTCGGGAAGCCTTCCTCGAAGCCTCTGGCTCAGGGAGGGAGGTGGGGGGGGGGGGGGGGGAACATACCCTTACACTGTAGGGGTCCTTCTTGTTCTTGTAAGTATCGTTCGAGGCACTCCGGGTTTACAATCATTACGATTATTCCTATCACTGTGGTTTGCCCTTTCTTCAGGGATGCCGACCTTGCGATCGAGGTGCCTGCCAGGTTCGTGTGCTTCGTCTGCCAGGCCTGTCTCTATCGCTTGCCGAGGGCTGAGTGGGGCCCAAAAGGCCGACTTTAAGGAGATTTCACGGGGGTGTAGGGTTCAGGGTTCAGGGTTCAGGGTTTAGGGGGTCTAAGTTCCAAGGGAGTTGGAGAGCTTGCGCCCATCTGAATTTCATGAGGGATCGGTTCTGCAGCGAAGTGATGCAAAGCAGCACTTCAGCAACAGCCCCTTTATTCGAGCATGTCTAAGGACTTTGAATTTTGAACCAGTGACGTGAAGCACCTGCTCTTGGCTTCCTGTACTTCGTACTCTGCATGCTGCTATTCTGGCTTGGGCGACCCCATGCACTGGTTCACTCCCCTTCTGAACTTCGCAACTTTGCATCGTTGGCCCTGGTCCTGTCCTGCGTCATCCATTCCTTGCCCTTAAGCTAGGTCGACAATGGCCATGTGGCAGGGGGCAGAGCGTGGTTTGACGACTCAAACCAGATACTGCGAATTACAGCACAGAAGCTCGCTTTATGGCTTTTCGGAGACCCAACGGTTCAACAGGTCTATTCAACATCTCCCCACCGGTCGTTGAGCCATGTTGATTTGCTGAGGGGCCATTTCAATGGAGCGGGCTCAGAGCTACATGGCAGCAGAACGCAAGCAGCCGCGTGCAAGGGTGCAGAGATTCTGCTGGAAAGCTTATCAAAGAACCCGGGGTGAACGCTGGCGACATCAGCCCAACTTGAATTTGCGCAAGATATGCGAGAACAAACCGAGAGAGGTCGAGAGGTGTAAGGCCTGGCAGCTCTGGGCCTATGCGCGTCAAGTGGCTTCTGTAGGCTCTCCGTAGATGCAGGCTCTTTGCATCCATACACGAAACTCTCTAAGAGTGCAGCATTGAGGAAAGCCTTTTGGCCACGAATGGCCACGACATGTAAAACACTAGTATTCTTCCAAGGCAACAGCTACTTTATCGTGATCCCTAGGGTGCCAGCTTCCAGGAACAAAACACATGGCCGAGCGCGGAACACCCCACCCCACCAGCGCAGCTGCACATTCAAGGCCGATGTAGCCACCTCCAACCTGGGGTGTAGGGGGTTTACGAAATGTTGGGGTACCTTGCTGGGGTCCGCATTATAAGGGATTCCTACTATGTGGGGGTCTATATATTAAGGGTCCCCTATTTTCGTAAACCGCCATGTAGGCGAGTTAGGCAGCATCTTGCAGTGATGCAGGGCGATCAAACTCCTGCAGACCACCCAAGATCTCTATTTTGAATACATAACTCACGACTTTCAGTGTTCTGGCTACAAAAAGTATTTCTTACGTTGTAGCTTGCCATTTTGTGACTCTTAGCATGATCTGCCGAGGCCTGTAGGTGCTGGGCTGCTGAGCCCACCTCTCATCAGCTCCCCACTACAGGTTTCTGGCAGAAGTCCTCGAGCATCACGCCGAAGACTAGCCTGAATACCTTGAAATCTCGAATCGATCTACACCGCATGGCGGTGAGTAGGGCCCCAGCCACGATCGCCTTGCCGGCGCCGCCGAGACCCTACCGACTGGGCATTGCACGCACATGCAGATGGTTTAGGGTTTAGGAAATCAGGGAATCAGGGTCTTCTTCAGACTCATGAAATACGTAGTCTTGACTTGCCATGAGCTGTTTGCATCTGTTCTGCTCAACAACCAGCAGTTCCACAGTATTGGCTGATGACACAGCTACAAAAACGATTGGCGCGAGTGCTTGCGCCTCCTCTCACGTATCTTCTACTTTGCAGCGAGCAGCAAGAACCCTAAACCCTAAACCCTAAACCCTAAACCCTAAACCCTGCAGCATGGCAAGTCCATCCCATCCTCGAGGGCAGCGACAAGGCCTGCGGCATCGCGCTCCTCGTTTGTCGAGTGCAAGACACCATGAAGTTCACAGGTGCCATGGGCTTATTTAGGGGCTTGGGGCTTAGGGCTTCGGGTTTAGGGTTTAGGGATCGTGGTTCCATCAAACATGGATGTTTGCACCCTCTCGACTTCTTGCGCAGCTGCCTTGACCACAGGCTCATGGAAAAGTCCCTGCGAAAGAAACATCCGAACATCGTCGGCGACAAACACTTTCCCGGCAAGGACAGTCCTCACGCAAATAGCACACATTCTGAAGGTCATCGCCCTTGACGCCGAACTGGCTCATCCGAACCTCTCAACAGGGGCATGGCTCTGGTTGAAAGCATTTTGCCGTCGTCCTCGTTGATTCTTGGTTCACATGGGGCTTCAGCAACTGCATTCTGGGATCCGTGAGTCTACTTGAGCTTTACCAGGCGCCGCGCTGGGCGACATCCGGTAGCTAGGATCAGCTTGTCGTACCTGGGATGTCCATGCAATGTCCAGCTGCAGGGTTGTGGAATGAAAGTGGAGCTGGGGTTTAGAGCTTGGGGATTAGGTCTTGTGATCTGAGCTAGAAGTTTGTGGTTTGGAGTTTTAAGGCCCTAGACCCCTCGGCCCCTAGCTACTGCAAGCCCCTTTTCGCTGGCATCTTCCTAGGGCTAACCCTGAGTGCATCTAAAGCATCCGAGGGCTCACAGGGACACATGCCATGCATTCGAGGAACTGACCCGGGGCACGGACAGAACCTACTTTGACAAAAACATTCTAGTAATAGCAAACCATATAAGCATATACTAATATAAACCGTTTGGGCAGGTGACGGCGCTAGCCATGAAGCATCCAATGAGATTGCCAAGCTGCTGAATCTGTTCGCCCTCTACAGTGACGGCCTGCCACATCGCTATTCAAAAATAGTGAAGACGCACGGGTGGAACTGTCAACATGGCGCTGTCGAATAGGCGCCCGATGATTGCAGTGCAACAAAAAGTACCCTTGTGAGCCTTACAAGTCGGACTTGGGGGTTGGGGGGAGCGCAGCGCATTTCGTTACGTGCGCAAGAGTCTGATCGGCAGTCATACGCGGATTTCTCCGGTCGACAGAAAAATCGGAAAACAGCACGGCGTAAATCGGAAACCAGAGCTGAATCCGAAACCAGAATAGAAAAATCAGAACGGCTGAGCCGGAAACCGGAAATTCGCAAACCAGGAGACGGCTGATGCCGAAACAGGCAACAAGAGGTCTCCGATGCCCTGGCTTGCCGGACGCGATTCTACCGCCCCACCCCTCCCCCCACCCACCCCCCAACCCCAGTTTCTGATTAAAAGTTACTGATTCGCTGATGTGCAGCTTCTGATGTGGCCAGCTTCTGATGTGGCCAGCTTCTGATCCGCAGGTTGGCGTCTGATTTTTCAACCATCGCCTCCTGCACCGATATATCTCCAGACTCAAAAAACACCGAACCTCTACGTAGTGTCGCACGTTAAGCGACTCAACACTGTGTGCACGGTTCAGGGTCGCAAGGCCAATCCGAGTTCTTGCTCTCAAACGCGAACTTGCCACGTCTAAAGGTTCACCTACACACCCTCTACACGTGAACAGTCTGTCGGAGCATGATCCCCACTCTACGCCCTCAGCGACACACCCCTTTATCTTCGTAAATCCTAAACTTCAATAAGCCCCCCAGGCACTCCGAAGTGAGATTCCGGAGCCTTGCTGGCAAAATCCACAGCTGAGGCCTTTCCATGAATCAAGGAGATGCCTCATCAGGGTTTAGGGTTAGGATCTGGGGATTAAGGATTAGGGATTAGAGTTTGGGGTTAGGGTTTAGGGTTTAGGGTTTAGGGTTTAGGGTTTAGGGTTTAGGGTTTAGGGTTTAGGGTTTAGGGCAACACCAAAGTACCTTGTCTGCAAGATGCCGGAGCGAAAGCAGAAGTGAGAGGCCAAGAAAGTGTTGGGCTTGTCGAGCAGGGGTAGCACTGTCGTCAGACAACAGAGAATGAAAGAGTAATCACATAATCATATATACATCCATTCGTACAAACATACAAACGCACGATCAGACAGTCTTAGAATCACATACTCATGCAATCGTATAAATACATAGACGTAACAATATATATATATATATATATATATATATCAATAAGCATAAACTGATGGAACCATTCTGCAAATGACATGGTAGTAGATCACAACTTGTTTCCTAGTATCATATTACATTGTTAACAAGGACATGTTACACAGAACCATCCACACCTGGCACACCCCCGCCTTTCTCAGCGTACCATTCCGCCGTCTGGCGATCGCCGCCACCTTCCAGCGACAAGGTGCGCGCTTCTTGTGGTGGCTAGTATAGTAAGCTGGTGCACGGCTACTAAACTCAGGCTTGTTGTGGTTTTTTGGCAAGAGGTGGTAGGAATTGCTCATGGTCACCCAAGATCAGCTACCATCGTCCGACACATTGTGATGTTCGCTGTCCTCGGCTGGGAGAAGCCTGTAGACCTACCTAGAAGACCTCCTACTTGGAGGTTCATGGGCACTTATAGGTTATAAACCCCCTAAGTCTCCTAAGTAGGTTATAAGTAGACGTTGGGTTATAAGTACCCATGAACCTCCAAGCAATCCATGACACGCAGGTACCTGGGCCATGCTGTGCACAGCTGCCGCACTCAGGGCTCTCTCGAGAATCATTAAGCTGGTGCGCATATCCTGCCATCAGCCTCACAACCGCGTAACTCTGCTCCTAGATACAGGGTCTACTGGAGTGGAACAAAGTGCATGTCTGCCTCAACCCCAATGTTTTCGGGCCGTTTAGGGATTTGGCGGGCTCAGGCATGGTCTGCAACCACCAGAAGATCGGGTTTTACTGGGCAGGAGAGCTCTCCAGTGTACCAAAAGGGCATGAACGCTAGACCCTCACATGCCCCCAAGCTCTTTAGAGTTGCAAAGGAGCTCGGCACAGTCCCGTGTCAGGATATACGACACACAAAAGGGTTGGTAGGAGTCACTCTTACAGTTGGTGGCAATTTCGTGCATTCGGATGCTTTCCAAGATCCTGAAACCCAAATAAACCCTACTCTCGGTGCCTCCTACGCAAGTGTGAAATCCTGGCAATCGGGCCCGGACCTGGAAGGTGGGCCAGGGGGCGGGGGGGTGAGGCAGACAGGCATTTTGGTTTAGGGTTTCGGTTTCGGAAATGCCCTGAATTTGTCTAGGATCTTGGATGCAGGTGGTGCGCAAGGAAGACAGCCCGGATCTTCCGCACAGATTGTAGTACTTCAAGCAGGTGCGCTCGCTTGCAGGCGGCGTTGCTCGCTTCGCAGGCGGCGTTTGCAGTTGAGGTTTGTTGGGCTTCATGCGCAACAATCTATGCTGGGACAGCAGCCTTGGCAGAGGGCGGATGGAGGTACCTGAGCTGCTCAACATAGCTTGGGTTTTCAAGGCTTTAGGGCCCTTGGGGATTGAACCACACAATGCAAACTGCTAGGTGCGGCTCCTAAACCCTGAGCAAAACCCAAAGCCACAAACCTACACACCAAACGCACCACCCAACGGAAGATTGTTGAAAGGGATTCTGGCAACGCGGCCGCGAATCCTGATCTTCTGGACAGAATCGCGAACGATGCTTCAAAACAAACCTGCTTTCAAAGGCCGCAGCTACGCAAAACCCTAAACCCTAAACCCTAAACCCTAGACCCTAGACCCTAAACCCTAAACCCTAAACCAACATCTCGGGTTCGTCTCGTGCCCCTCTCGTCGCAGGAATGTGCAAGTTCAGCTCCCTCCCTTGTTGCTTTGGCTGAGGTACGCTTTGGTAAGAGCCGGTCGCTCGTATGGTGGGACTGGTTCGGCAGTCACCTGGCACAGGCGCAGCGCCTATTCAAGGGTTATTTCCAAACTGGGGAGGGGGGGGGGGGGGCGGATTAAAAGTAACTGCGTTTGATAACATCACAACACAACAGCGGCAGGTACAGTAGTTGGGACTGACGAAGCACTGAAACAGCCCACCCTAAGCGGCCCTAGAACTTCCGGTGCCCTCGATCTAATCAAGAGCCAAGATGCTACGGCGACCTTGCTTGCTGCTACCCCCTGGGCAGCAAACCTGAGCTCTCACAGACCGGAACCTTCAATTGCTTCAAGGTGTTTGAAAGAGGGTTTAGGGTTTCGGGTTTCGGAATTAGGGTTTAGGGTGAAAACCTTCCCCACTCGCGCGTGGCCGGAAGGATGCGTGGTGCGCCCATGGTGGCCATGGACAGAGCAATGTCTTGCAGCGACTGTCCGACTGCACGACCTTTTCTGGGCGAAGTGTGGACGGCAAAACCAAGTCACGGCTGCGACCTTCGCACTTTCCACGCACTGGTGCCACTGCATAGCACACCACACAATGTTGGGCTTCTATCTTGCCACAGAAGTACTGCCAGGCAAGCTGAAAGCGATCATAGAAGCCAGTATGAAGAACCCCCGTCCCTCTTGCATGTAGGGTTCAAGGTTCAGGGTTTAGAGTTTATGGGCTGAAACTTCCAACTCTGACTGTGGTTGCTTTTGCGAGCATTGAATGGTTCACTTCTTGTTATGACTAATTTCCACCTGCTTTGACCGCATCAGAAAGCCTGGTCCCAGGAACTGGCTCTTAACCGCTTCTGCAGGCCGAGGAGCTCCCGGCAGGCGTATCCCGCGGCATTGCCGCCGCCTCAACTGCCGGGGTCATGGTGCGAACCCTAAACCCTAAACCCTCAACCCTAAACCCTAAACCCTAAACCCTAAACCCTAAACCGTAACCCTAAACCCTCTTTTCTGAGAGGGGGCTGACTTACTTGGAGAGCATGTCGCCAAGATGAGCAACCCAAAGAACCGCCACATCGACCTGAAATAAACACGGTCAACTCCACGGAAAACTCCACCTCAACAGTTGATCTGAAATCCAGTGGAAACCCTTTTTAAGGACAAGTAGTAGTGCTGGAATTCCCTATACTTTACTCCAAGGGATTGAGGCTATTGAGTTTCCAACTTTTTGGCTTCTACTATAATGTACCCAAGCTTGGCATTCCTGGGCTTCAACCCGTAGGTTTGAGGCACCCGGCAAGTCGAATACATCCAAGTTGCCCATCCGGCGGATGCCCCCCCCCCCCCCCAACAAAAAAAAATGCTCCGTTTGCGAAGCACTCAGGCTGGAACCAACGACCACGTAGTCGAATTGCCTCCAGCAGGGGGGCAGGATGGCAGCTGCCCAAGAGGTCACTAGTCATCACCACATGGAGATGCAGAAAGTCGGGCTTCTTTGGGAGGGACCTTGTAAGGATTCCTTCT